TGGGCAGCAGACCCTGTCTGAGGTGATGGGAAAGCAGAAAGGATTAAGACTGCCCCTGAATCTGTCAGCACTGATCTCTAAACAAGCTCCTCTGGATCAGTCCCCTGAATCCCTTGCAGGTTCTACACTGAGCTGTGAATCAGAATGACAACAGTAAAGAATGAAAAGAGCTCAGGGAAAGAAGTCGAAAGTTCTACCTACTGGGGTAGCAGAAGAATGCAATAGACAGTTCAGTAGTTTTTGAAAGATGAGGAAAATTTCAGATTGAGAAGAAGGTGGAGGTACAAGGTCCCTCAGGTGACCCTGAGCTTCCTGTTAAGAAAATGCAGTGGACGGCGCCTGTGGCTCAAAGGAGCAGGGCCCCGGGCCCATATACTGGAGGTGGCAGGTTTAAACACAGCCCTGGCCAAAAACATAAGAAAGAAAGAAAAGAAAGAAAAGAAAAGAAAAGAAGAAAAGAAAAGAAAAGAAAAGAAAAAGAAAAAGAAAAAGAAAAAGCAGTGATCCCTGAGCATGTCAAGACATTACTTGGGAGACACTTGGAACAGAAATCTGAATATGAGGGTACCATGACATGCCCCCATCGTGTACTTGTATTCCTCTTAGTTTGAATCAGTGTGATCCAGAAGCAGGTGCATGGGGTGAACCACGTGGGAGAGAAGGCCCACAGCGGGTCTCAGCGGTCAGGGATGGAGGGGATTCTGAAAGTAAACAGTACTGCCTAGAAACTGAATTTCCGACTCAGGCAGTTGGTACTCCACGCTAAGATTGGCGGAAACTGAATAAACGGTTCTATTTGACATAGTCTGGGAGCTTTGGTAGTATACGAAATAGCTTGGCGAATAAGCAGCAATAATGGAAAACAGATCCAGGAGAAATGAATATGGAAGAGCCCTGGCTCCTGATCCAAACTCTGCCTCACCCAGAGAGTAGAGGAGACTCACAAAGTCAGGGCTGTAGCAGACTCTGGCCAGTTGCATGCGGGTGTCCATAGTCTGGTTTTCCAAAATGTCCACACGAATCTTCTCCTCTTCTGTCTCTCCACCTGGCACCCACACAACAGAAAATCCCCATCAGCATCCACCCAAGACAAGCCTGGGGGAATGGCCACTGCCCCACCCCCTGCAGCCAGCCCCACTCACACAGATTGTGCTTGCGGGCA